CTGAAGCAGCTGCTGCGGTCAGCTTGCAGTGCTGCGCTCTAACCTGTTGCACCACAGGGAGGGCCCAGTGCAAAAAAAATATTGATATTCTTACAATAATGTGCTTAAAAAGTATTTTAGGCCCTCCCTGGTGGTGCAGTGGGTTAAAGCACAGCACTGAGAAGCTAATGCCACTTCTGCATGAGTTCGATTCCCACCTGCCCTGGAGGTGACCACATGGCGTGGCAGACCTCTCCGGACCCGCCCGCTGCTCCCCTCAGCAGTATACTTCGTTGATCTGCCTGTTCTGCTCCCCGCTCTGTCTCTGGTGAGGCCCCTCGCCGCCCCTGAGCCTCTGGCCTGTACCCCAGTTCTGTATGCACAAATAAATAAACCTTTAAAAAAAAGTATTTTTAAAAAATTATGATATATTTTATGATATATTTAATCTGTCCCAGTATATAAAGGAATCTTAATTTGTATTAAATTAAAAGATTTGCATCCATCATGGAAGGTAATTCTTAAAGAGATACCTTTTAGTATCTGGGATGCCCACTGAAGTAAAAATCTAGGAGTCTTTCTGGGTGGCGTCCCTGAGACACCACCTTTGCCTGGGAACTGGGGGAGAGTTGCTTTCCTGGATTAGTTATATTTCTGGCTGAAACCCACATGAAGAGCTCATGAGATGCTAAGGGTCCTTTCACCTCATTTTATTGCAACAACCCAGAGCACGGGAATCCTCTTCAGGCCACCTCTTTCCCAGACCTGCCGTATCTCCTCATGCTCTTGTTCAGTCTGTGCCACACCTGGCAGCAGGGTCTATAGTTCCTCAGCTTCATGTCCTCTCTAGTTCATCAGCTTAACTAGCACTTCTAGGGTAAAGTTGAAACGCCATGTGATACTTGATCTCACCACGGGCTACCACTTGCCCACCTCATCCCTGTAACTCATATACGTACTGTCTGCTTCAGTGCTATTTCATCACCCGTGATGAAGAGTGAGGATGCACTCGTCCTTTATTTTTCCTACATGAGAACACCCCTGAGACTGGGACACATCTGAAAATCATTGTAGAACAGGCAGTAGTTGTTAACTGATTACTTTGGCCTTGCAGGCTTATCCATGGAACTCAGCAGCTTCAAAACTGTCTGAATGGATGTTAGCTTGAAATAAAATCCCAGAAACAACAGCAAGCCACCCTCTTCACTTCTAAGAATTCAGTGTTATGGGGGGGTGGTGAATCAGAAGCATTTAGAAACATCACCCAAGTGGGAATCTAAAGTAGTTTAATTCCACGAACTCACGAGCCCAGTTTACAAGCCCCAAGAGCTTTTGGTTCTTCCTTAAATTCTTTGAAGAAATGTAGCCTCACCAAACTCCTGAGACTATTGAGTGGAAAATTAAAATTATATTCCAAAAGTATCTATGTCTAAAAGGTAAGTTTCCACAATACTGAGAGCAAGTAATTTCACATAGATTTTTATTTTATTTGCTAGGATGCTATATGATAAGATATCATAAAAATGCTCTTTCAAAAAATAGTAAACCCCTTTGTGGTAAGAAAGCCTTATGAGAATGTCGTAAGTTAACAATGTCTTTTTCTTAAGTGTTTAAAACATGAGGGCACATCTTGAAATTAATGCATGTAAAGTGGTCACTGAAATAAGTACAATTGCTTTGTTCTCTCGCTGTCTCTAATCTCTGGACTTTAAGGTTCTGCTCTCCCTTCCTAGAACGCCCCTTTTTCTCTTTGCCTGGCTCACTCCTACCCATCCTTTAGGTTTCGGCATAATTATCACTTCCAAGAAGTTTTCCTGACCTTCCTACACCCACCCTCAGACTATGTGAGTTGCCCATCCACCCCCTCATCCCTCCACAACACCCTGTACTTCAACTCCATAACAATTATCATTCTTTACTGGAACTGCTTCTATAATTTTCTGTCTCCCCTACAGGCTGTAAACTCCTTGAAAACAGGGAACTCCTGTGTCTTGCTCACATTGTGCCTGTCACAGTTGGCACATTGATAAATATTCATTTGCCAGTGAATAGATTAGCACAGGAATGAGTGTCCCATAGCACAGCACAAAAGCAAATTCATTCAAATTTCAGCAGTGAAGCCAAATGCATTTTATTTCACATGTGAAGAAAGTAGGAGTTAGAAATGGATTAAAGGGGGGGCCCTCCCTGGTGGCACAGTGGGTTGAAGTGCAGCACTATGAAGCTATCCACAGCCGCTGCCAGGGTCAATCCCTGGCCAGGGAGGCGACTCACATGGCGTGGCAGACCTCTCCTGACCCACCCATTGCTCCCTTCAGCAGTGTATTTCAGTATGTCTACCTGTTCTGCTCCCCACTATGTCAATGGTGAATCCTCTCACCCCCCACACCTCTGGCCTGTACTCCAGTTTTTGTATGCATAAATATTTAAATCTTGTTTAAAAAAAAAAAGAAGAAGAAGAAGAAGAAGAAGTGATTTAAAGGTTTAGAGAGTGAGCTTAGTTCATGACAGGCAAAACTAAAATGTCTTACGTTCCCAGAGTTGTGGATCTGATATGTACTGGGCATTTACTGTGTGTGTGGTTCTCTTCTGTATTTAATATATATATATAATCTCACTTAATTCTCTCCCAATTCTATTAGGTGAGTGCTATTAGTACCCCCCTTTTATGAAAAGGGAAAGTGAGGTACAAGTTGGTTAAAAAAAAGTTTCCTGAGTTAATATGTGGTACAGCTGAGGTACAACCCAGGCAGAATGCAAAATTTGCACATTTAATCAGAGTTGTTGGTAAGTTGAGTCTGGATACTAAGCAGATGTAAATGCTATGAATTACTAGCAGGTCACTTCTTACGGATGTGTTTTCAACCTCATCCAAGACAAATCACTTTATTTCAGTGGATACTGATACTAACAAACAGAATTAAGGCAGTCTCATTGTAAAGGCATTCTAGAGGGAGTTTGTATATCTCACCCTTCAAGTAGCCATGTGATAGCTAGGTGAGTCATTTAACTTCTCTGAGACCCTATTTCTTCACTAAAACTGGTAGAATAATGCAAATGAACTCGTAAAATCTTCTCCTAAGTTCTGTCACTTTAGCTCACAGCAAATACCAAGGCCACCAAGCAGGAGAAGTCGCCAGTAATTATCCGGGGCCAGATATTGGATTCTCGGATGTAATTTAAACTCCAGTGTTTGTGCTACAAAAGTCAAATAATGTTTGGCAAGGTGAAGGGCTCTTGCTCCTCAGAGCCCTCCACCCAGCAGCCTAGGTTTACAAATTCCAGCCCTGGACTTCTTTCCTTTCCTGCTATTGACCGTGTTGCCTTAGTGGGGAGAGGGAAGCCTAGACTTGTGTTGACAGAGTTTGACTGTTGGGAAAAGTACATACCTGCAGGGGGAACAATGTTTAACAAGACGCAGGCATCAGCCTCCGCCTGACTCATTCCAAGCGGGGCCTCCCTCCACTGTTGCTTTGTTCCAATGCTACATCAGAGGCTCGTGTGGAGACTTGCCGAAGTCAAACACTTACAAAAAACTCCAGCCCAGCTATGCTGGGGAGGAAAACAAGATTCTCTCCAGATGGGTGATAGAGCCAAGAAGACTGGGAAGAGCTGGGGATGCATTCCAGGGCTGCGGGGTGTCACCAGGCTCCACTTTCCGGGGTCAGGGAGCTGTGAAGCTATTCCTGTTTGTCCTCCCCTTTGGGGAGGGCTTTTCTAATTGGCAGTGGTACCGTTTTCTTGAGTTGGTAAGAAGTGAAAGGGCATAATAAAGGATAGCAAAGCTGGGCCACCATTGTCATATTCCTGTTTGAAGGCATCCAGCATTTGCAGGCTTCTTGCTTGCATTTTGTACTCTTAGAGGCTCTCCCTCTGACAGGTTAAGTTCCTTCATGCACCTATAAAACAAAAATAGTAATGATCAAAAATTGAGCATTAAATGCGGTAGGCAGTAGTCCTACATGCTGCATGCTTGGTAAGAGCGGGGCTCTGTCATGGATGACAACCCAAGCTCAATCGTTTGTGGATCCTCTGAAAACCAAGCAAATATTGGAAGGAAGCTCTCCTCTGTATGGTTTTCTAGCAGATTATTTTTCTGTGGCTTAGATCAATTCTTCACACAATTAGGGACAAAAACATGTTACTGGGTGGATCAAGAGGTAGATAAATTACATTCCCAATTCACTGTGTATTCATTCAACAAACACTTCAAAGCACTGGATTTTGAGGAGGGTAGTAATTGCTTCTGTTTTAAAGCGCTTCTAAGCTTGCTATATATATATATATATATATATATATATATATATATATATATATATATATATATATTTTTACAGTCAGTCATTTGATCTGCCCCATATGCTGTGAGACTGTATGTGGAACCTTATTCATCTATGATAGGTAAGAGTACAGGTCATAAAACAGCTGTGAAAGCTAACAGATCATAGTCCTTGATATCAGACAGATCTGAGTTTGAAGTGTGGTTCTTTATCTCATTTAGCGGTTGCCTGTTTTGCATCCTCTTTTCTTCATCTGTACAATGGGAGGGATATGTTTATCCAACAGAGTTGTGAGAATTAAATAAAATAGGACCTATAAATAAAATAGGCTTGTCACATATACTAACACACAGTGTAATAATACACAGGAAGTGGGCAGCATGTCAGTCTTAGAGTCTTTATTCTTTTTCAGCGTCACATAGCTGAAATAATAGGATCAAGACTGGGTCCCATGTCTGCTGACTTCCAATTCAATACTTTCTGCTACTAATTAGCTTTAAAACATTTCACAAAGTCTCAACATTCCTCTTAGAGAAAACAATAGACATGGCACATGACTGTAGAACACAGAAGTGCTCTCACTACAGTTGGGAGAGTGAGGCCTGAAGTGCCTTTCACCACTCCTTGTTTCCCCCCACCACAGCCAGATGTCTGTGGAAGCCTTGTAGTCACCATGGCTGGAGATTCACCAGAGTGCAGCAAAGAAAATCATAGTGTATCATTGCTTCCACCTGCCTGGTTCTCAGCACTGTCGGCTCCTCCCACCAAGCCCTGCTCTTCTTTTCCTGTCAATCTCTTGGTCTATTGACCATCCACCTTCCATAGGTCCATGAATTCCATCGACTTTTCCTGTTGCTGAGTGTCTGCTAGGACAGGAAGTCTCCCATTGTGTTCTGTCAACCAGAATCTGTGTCTTCGTGCTTCATGGAAGCTCATTCACTTCCCACCATGGCTCTGTAATGACAGGAAATGTTTCACCCCTCTCCTCATGCCATGCAAGATCCATAGCTCCCTCCCTCTTGTTTCAAGCGAAAATGAGTTACAGAACTGAGAGATCATTTTTCATGTCACATTTTTGGAGTCAGATCACTGTGGGTTAAAGGTACAACTCTGTCTATCCCTTTGCTTTGTCCTTGTGACTGGGAGTGTACATGCAGGCAAGCCAACCATATCATATTTCTCTCTGCATGCCTAAGCATGCTGGCCCTCGCCTCACTTTATAATTGAGCTGGTCAGAAGGAATCAGATTCAAGCTTTATAAGATTTAAAGCTCAACCCGGTTTTTGAACGCAAGTCAGTGCTTTGCCTCCAAAGTGAGGGTCATTGGGCCTTCCTAGGTCCAACGAGATTCCTGTTTAGCTGCTGTTCTTTGACCAATGTCATTAAGAAATCAATGGAAGAAAAATCTATGGTAGGAGAGATCTAAGCCTTTCCATGTCTCCAGCATAGTCATCAAAATCCCTCAATCCCTAACATTTCTGTGCCCTTTCTTCTTTAAACCTGGCCCCCTTTCCTCGGTCCCAGCTGTTCACAGATCTTCGCCCTGAAAGGGAAAATCACAGATACCCTGGTACATGCTTCTGTTGACCCTGAAGGAAGTTGAATATTTATTCCTGATTGTCTTCTAAATCTTGCATCTTGCTGCCCCCTTAAAACCCACCATAACTACCACAGGAAGTCTTGCATTAGCCCTATCAGAATAAGTTCTCCCTCTTCTGACTCACATAGCACTTAATGAACATTTCATTCAGTTATAGCACTTACTTCATTCTGCCTCATGTTCCAAAATGTTGTTTACAACAGGTCAGTCTCTCCGACAAGACTGGAAGCAGCTCAAAAGAGGGAGTCTGACTTAGTCACTCCTCACACCCCTTTACCCTATATCATAGTGCTTTGCAGTCCACAATATGTGTGTGTGTGCATATATGTAGTGTTTGGTGTGTGTGAGTGAGTGAGGGGGAGAGAGAGAGAGAGTGAGAGAGAAAGTGCAGCATGAATTGCTAAAGAGCCCAGTATTAGAAATCCCAAGGACATTGGCTAGCCTCCTGAAGCATGAATGGAAGTGTCTTTGCCAGGAACAGGAAGGAACTCATCAGGGTAACCATCATCTTTGGCCTGCCTGTGAGTCCACTTGTTTTCCTGTTTTCCTCTCCTTTTTAATTACAAACAAGCTGCCTCATGTGTTTCCTTTCTCTGCTACTGGAACAAGCTGTCAATGCGTTTTGAATGTTGGTCCAAACACTGACACAGGAAGTGCTAGTCAGCAAGACTGGGCCTTGGGTCTGGAGGCACACTGAAGGGTGCCAACACTCCTGGCCAATAGTCCAGCTTCATTATGAGGTCCTGCTTCTCTCAGAAGGCCTGGTGGACTTCTGTGAGGCAGAGGAAAGCGCTCAGGGGGTGGAGACTGAAGATCCCACTCAGGTTTTAGCACTTCGCTGGCTTTTTTGTCCTTGTGCAAACTGCTTAGTCCCGGTGGACCTGTTTCTTCATCTATAGATGGGGAGTGGTGAGACTTCAGTGAGTTCTTAGAAAAAGGCCAGTACAAAAATAGTCTGCAAGTCTGGATCTCTGTAAAATAAGGTGCCATTAATTACTGTCATATATCAACCAGTTTTATCTGCTAAAAGGATGCATGTATCTTGCCCAGAAAGAGAATAGCCACAGTTCATTTTAGGGTGGAACATCTACTCTCTGGGACATAAATAATTACTACTAAGAGACTGCGGGGAAGAAGAGGGCAGACACGATGTGTCCTCTGGGAACACAGCAAAAGCATAAAGCTCAATGAGTGGAAAACACGTCCTTTGCTATGCAGCTGGCTGTTTCCTCCCCCTCTTCTCCAAGAGTCTCTTCCATCATCAGGTTGAGCCTGAGGCTAGAAACTAAAGGCCAAAATGGAGCCTGTCTCTGGATACCTCTGGAGACACTGGCATGTTGCTGTTGGCTCTCTTGTGAAGGATCTGCTGTCAGATGCAGTGAACAATGAGGCTGTTGCCGGCCTGATGTTTCTCCATTTGCCACATGCAGGCAGGTCCGCTGAGCCAGCAGCCAGCAGCTGTGTTTACAACACCCCACCGCCCTCCTTCATTAACGAATTCTGGGCTTGTAGCACACCCCGAATAGACTTCTACAGCATTGGAGGGTTCCCCTGTGGGAGAGCCTCACAACATCTGGGCCTGCATCTTAATTGGGGGCAGCACAGGGCAGGTGGTGGGGATGGGTAAGAAGTTAGTGGGGAATGGAAAGCAAACTTCATGCACAAGGCTAACCATTGGTCTCTCCCATTCTGTACACTTCAACTGAGTTAAAAGGGTCTCATTTTCCATTTCCATGCCTTTGGAGACATTGGCGCTCACACTGCAAACATACATTGCATTTAGATTAAATGCCATTAGAAAGGTTTCGGAAGATATGTGAACTAAAATTAGAGGCACAGACACTGAGACATCACATTTTCTAGATTGTAAAATGGTCCGATAAACCTGATCAGAAGGGTGCGGAGAAGCAGCTGTCAGATTCCATGGCAGCTCCAAGAGAGAATGTAGCCTGGCTCTTTTTTCTAAAATGGCCTACTTCCTGTTGATTCCATCCTGGAAACAACCAAAATGGGAGGAAGAGGAATGGAACTAGGAAATGACATCAATCGCTATAGTTTTACTCTCTGGGAACAAAAATGTGTATTTATGTGATAGTATGGCAAACGAATTGGATCCTTACAACAGGTCGCTCTGTGTGACTAGAGTCAAAAATAACATAATGAGATAGAATCACTATCAAAATATTTATGAAGTCTTAGAAGCTTACATGAAAAGAGAAAGTTTTCATAAGAAGAGGCAATTTCTGGTTTGGGAATACACCAAGCCTAGCAAAGTCTTCGTAATTATCTAACAGGAAAAAATGCAATACCAGATGCCTGAAAAACATACTAGAATCCAAAGCTCACCTTCTGATTCTGGCTCTGTCACCAGCCAGTGTGTAACCTTTGACTAGCCTGTCTAGTCTCCACTTGCCCGTATGCAAACTGATAGTAACAACACCTGGCCCCGTTCCTTCTCTTACTGGGGCTGCAGGTTGTAGCTGAGGGTGGATGGGAAACCGATGAGCAAACATAGTGTGTGATGGCAAAGGTTATATTCTAGGTTAGTGTTTTAAAGTCTTGTTATTGCTTTCCTCCTTATAAGGAGTCTAGAACTTTTTGATTCAAACATTTTTAAAGAAATCATTGTGTTTTGCTCCACTTTGTAATGTTGGGTGGGATGGGCAGGTGTGCATTTAAGCGTCCCATCTGACACACAATTCACAGACAGATAGGGAAGACCATCCTGTAAAAATGCTACGTAAAAGAATTAAAATAATCATTCACTGCCTAGTAAAGGGAATATTCATAAGCATTCTATGAAACAGAATGTTATTGCCTCCTGACTATGATAGATGCGCAAATCCTGCATGTGATAAAGTTCTAGAACTGTACATCACAAGTTAGTTTTACTTGCGGATAATTGGAAAGAAAAGAAAAGGGGGGAACGATCACATCGTTGAATCCATATGCAGCAGAAAGGCAGGCCTTCTCCTCCGAAATGTCACGGCTGTACTTGTAAACAAGCTTGACAGCAGCATTTTTTTAACTTCCGTCGGGGCGCAAATCACCCTGGCCTCAGTTATGATGAAGATGCACATGCCAAGGGGGTCCCAAAGGATGCCCTTGCTTCTATGTCTGAAAACAACACTAAATTTTTAGGGTACGGTTCATTTACAGCAACTGTAACAAAGAGTTGCACCACACCAACCCCTTATCCCTTCCCCATAGTAAAGATCACTAATTGCTCAACCACATAGTCCTGAGGCCAAGCAGGAAGGCTGGAGAAAGTACAGAAACTATCATAGGAATGATGATGTGAGGTGAAACCTGACAGCCACCCTTGACCTGAAGTGCAGGTGAGTCAGGACCATCCATCAACGTCCACCTAGAACACTTCCCGCCTCTCATCTTGCTGTTCTAATTGCAAAGCTCTGTCCTAAACAAATTAGCCAGTTAACTTCAGATGTATCTTTCCTTCCAGCAGAGGTGAGCAAACTTATCTTTCCTTCTGGTTGTAAATGACTTGAGGGCAGGGTCATAGCATCTATTCTTGTAATCACTCCCTTCGTATTATTTTGAGCCTCTAATGTCTCTTCATCTCGAAAAGTAAGGATCACAAAAGTATCTCATCGGGTTGTTGTGAGAATTAAATGGGACGCACGTAGAACAGGGTTCAGCAAACAGACTCAGGAGTGGATTATTGTTGTCCTAATTAACCAGTAATGCCCCCCACGGTGCCTCTCTGAACTTTTTCTTCATTCTAATGAAAAATTATTTTTATGATTAATCCTTCTGTGTATTGATAACATCATGGAATACTTACTGCTGAAGAGCTTTCCAGAATTAAAAAAAGAAAAATGGTATAGACCTCTGAGTATTCAGCTAAGAGTCAAAGAAAAGTATTGCCATACCTCTAAACTCAAGTCAAAAACTGAAAGGTCTCCATTGTCACCTGCGCTACTGATTTTTCACCACTGGAGGGCGTGCTGTGTTCAGTTGTAAAAATTCTGGGTTTTAGTTCTCTTTCTCCCAACTTCCATTTTCCTCAGTTGAATTGGAGTTAGAGAAGCAAAAAAACTATCTTCCTCTTCTGACCAATTTAACATAACAAGAACATTCCTCAGAGATGCACCCAGTGGCCCATTCAACAGACAGGAAAGTCTATTTAATTACTTGGTGCCATTCTGCTACCTTTAGTCCCCCCTAATGATAACCCCATACAGCCTTTCAGGCTACATACAGCCTCTCACCTTGATTTTGAACCCTCTCTTCTGCTCTTCTCTCCTTCACTTATTTTCTCCAAGTTTCCTGCTTTTTCACAAATCTCCCACTAAAACTAGCTCCTGGTCCCTTTCAACATGGCCTGTCATGC